AGAAGCCAGTGTCCAAACAGACCAGATCATTTCTGTGCCCTCAAATATCAAACCCGTTAAGATCCAGACTGGTTCTGTTCTCGCTCCTCTACGACCTGCTGCATCGGAAAGGACTGAGCAGAAACCAAAAGGCCCTCTTCCCACTACAAAACCGCTCAGCGCTTCTCTTTTCCTACAGCTTCACTGGCCGGCTACTGTCTTTTCTCTCCTTTGTAACTCACTAGTGACCCGGCGCACAGATTTGTGCACACTGAGAGGAAATTAATTAGAAGGCGGCCAGCAGGGCAGGACTGGGCAAGATGGGCCAGACACGCCCTGGAGCCGACCTCCCATGGTCCCTCCCCAGCCGGCTGCACCTGGGGTGGTGCCGTGGCTAGAAGAGTCTCTTCAGAGTGAGCAGGGTCCTTCCGGCAGGTGGGGTCCCTCGGCCTGGCCTGTGGGGATCGGGCTGAAGCAGGCTCTCCAACATCCCCTGAGGGGTCCGGAGTGTGAGAGGGCACCCTGCAAAGTTGCTGTCATACAGGGTGTGGAATGTAAACACAGTGTGCAGTAAACCAGATTCGGGCTGACAGTGCCCCAGCACCAACATCACCCACGGCCAGAGGTGAAATCGTGTGGCCCCACGAGGAATCAGGTCCCTCCTCTCTGGTTTCAGGGTGCATCACCCGAGAACTGCCGCTCAGCAGCTCCTGTGTTGAATGTCTGCCCCCTGTAGTCTGTGAGTGTCATAGCTACCAGTGGGACGGAAAATTAGCATATTAGCCATATCTATCTATCTATATATATATATATATATATGGCTAATAACCACTGATATTGATATATATATATATATATATGCCATATATATATTAGCATATTAGCATATTAGCCATATATATTAGCATATTATATATATATATAATATGCTAATATATATATGGCTAATATGCTAATATGCTAATATATATATATATATGGCATATATATATATATCAGTGGTTGCCAACCTTTCGGACCTCACGGACCACCGGTTGGTGACCGCTAATATAGACAGTTCTTATCTCTTGTTGAGAAAACTCATCCCCATTTCTTCCCCGTCCCCTCTCCCCCGCCTGGCTCTCCTGTTCTAAGGAGAGCAGGCCCAGACACACCTGGCCGAGCCTCCCCAGCTGCTTTCCACAAAGGCTCAGTCTAAGCAGAGGCCCCAGGTGCAGGGTCAGGAGGCTTTTTTGTCCGTAAATCCCCTCATCCTGTGCTCCATCGTTCTGGTTTCTATTGAACCCCGGAACAATTAGGGATTATAGTCTTTAGACTCGGTCACGATAGTAACAGTTAAGGATTACGTTCTGAGTGGGTCCAGAAGCCAGATAGGATTCCTTTGGCAGCAAAGGACGCCTTTGCATGGGGAGCTCCGGCTTTTACCTGAAACACAGTTGGGAAACACTTGGCAGGAGGCACCATCTACCGCATTCTTGACATCAGGGCCTCCTGGCAGCCTGGTTCCCTCCCCCCACCTCCACGCCTATCTCCTCCAGGGTGGTTTCCTCTCTCAGGTTTTGGTTGTTCTAATGATTGCGCCTTACTTTGGGATGCCTGGGGGGATTATCTTCAAAAGGCAAAAATCACTTTTAATCAGAATTACCATTGAAAAGCCCTTACATCTCACAGAAGATGTTGGCAGCAAACACCCAGGAAAAGAAAAGAGAAGAAAAAAAAGGTCTTTAGAAATAGGCTAACGAGCCATTCCTAGGGTCACCCCACAGACTGGACCAATTTCCAACGGAAAGAAATCTCTGCTTCTCATCTCATGCCACCAGCGCCGTTTCAATGAGCCCCTAGGAGCCCGGTTCTGTTCCACTCAGAGAAGACAAGAATTCCAGTCCCCTTCTGCTAGCTCACGGGCAGCTCTGCAAACAATGTGCCAACATACAAACCCACTGAGGACTGGTGCTTTATGCACCGTGATTAAGGTCACCAGATGTCCCGCTTTTGGCAATTTTAAAAATCGGACCTTTTTTAAAACGCCAAGGGAAGCGGGACAAATTGTTAAAAATCGGGACTGTCCCGCCAAAAGCGGGACGTCTGGTCACCTTAACCATATCAGTCTGAGGACTCCGCTCGGGACCCAATAGTTTGTGCCCTTGTTCCCTTATTTTGTGCGAGTTCAGAAAAGCATAAGATCAATTAAAAATCCTTTAGAAACAAAAACAAACAAAGAAACAGAAACACCCCAAAGTAGATCAGTAAGTTGTGGAAATCAAACACTCAGAAGCCATTCTTAAATAAAAATCAGCCATCAGTTCCTAGTGTGTCCTCCTGCATTCCCTTCATTCCTTTGGGGTCAAGTTCTTAGGGGAATCAAATCCTAAAAGGACTAGCATTGAGGACATTAATATTTCTGGTTCAGATTTCATCACAGCAACATTATGTATCTCACCAGCAGTTATTTTCTTATAGGAAATTCAGTACTGGAGAGTTAAGATACTGGAGGTTTCAGAAGACATCAGATAAGGAAAATAAAGTTCAACCAAGACAAAAAGCGGATTGTTTATACTAACACACATGTGTCAAACACAAGGCCCGCGGGCCAAATCTGTCCCGCCAGGCCTTGCAATGTGGCCCGCACCGCGCTGTCATCACTGCACTCCGCTGCGTTTCTATCACAATGACAGTTTATGACTGTTCAGTAAACCATTCAGCCCGTGATTTAGGCTGGATTTTAGATTTTGGCCCCTTCTCTGATTGAGTTCGACACCCCTATACTAACAAGATGTGCCATATCTCATCAGTACACGAGCTTTCTAGACTACCCTAAGGGGATAGCTTCAAACTAAGTTTAACACTCACTAAATCAAACTATATAGCAGGCACTGTGAGAGCTACAAAGACCACACACACACACCCTCACACACACACACACACACACACACACACACATACTACTACCTGCTCCAAGAATTTATAAATTAATGAGACAGATTAGACATGCGTTGCTTTTCTTCATCTACTACGACCAAATAAGCGTTGAAAATTTCCAAGACTCAAACGTGTATCCAAGTGGTCTTGCGTGGTTTGCTTTTTCCTCTCTGCTCACTGAGGCCCTGACAATCACCGCTACTTTGGTTTCCTGAGTCTCTTACCTTAGTTTATTTTCTGTTCTCTGCTCATGGAATAAGATCTACCTTTTTGGGATTTCCTGTTCTGCTTTTAGTTTTTCTCCTGCTGCTCTTGCTGGGGCCCCCGGCTTACCCTCCTCTACAGCACACACTGTGTTCGCCGGCGAGACAGACCCTCCACACAGTTTCTTCTTTGTGTTTTTTTATTGGCGATCTGGAAGCCATCACCGAGAGTGGCTCTGAAAACCTGGAACCTAACTATTCAAAAGTAATTACCTCCAGGAAGTCCACTTTTAGAAAGTTTAATCAGGAAGGTACAGGACGGCCTCTCTAACCACCCTCTGCCGCTCCAGCTGCTTGCATCTCCTTGCTGGTAGCGTGAGCTAGAGGCGGCAGCCGTAAGATGGACTGGGGACTGAAAGCAGAAGAAATAACCCCAAAATATGGCGAATTTTTATATATGGAAGTGCGAGCAATAGATGACTACTGGGGATTCCAGGGCGTTCACATGAGGCCAAAACCACCCATGTTTTGCACCTGCTGAGATGAAGGTCATCCTGACAAAGCCTTCAGGAGCACAGGATAGACTCTGTCTGGGGGTCACGCACGCATGACAATGGCTGGCGTTAGCCACGTGTCCATCGTCCTTCTTTCTGAGACTTACAACGTGCTCTTCCTTTTCATCCCCTACATTTGGGTAGGTGCTACTGGACTTGTAAAAAACAGTAGCATCTTTTGTGTACCCCTTTTCCACCTGGAGGGGAAAACCCACCGTCAGAGAGGGGCTTCTAGGAGTCACCAAAGGCCACGGGACCAGCTCAATCATAAACCTCGACGACAAAACCTGAATGTCTCCAAACACTTCCTGCCTTTTGTTTCAGCAGCACCATCCCTTCAAGGTGAAGGGCAGGCTCCCTGAGCCACACACCAGCCCGGCCTGGACCCGGGGAGACCCTCCTCCCGCATCTATCGCTCCGGATGTGCTACTCCACACAGGCCTCCTTGGGGAGCCCGCTCTGGCCCATTGACAGGCAGACAATACACGCCGCCTCCTCCCCACGCGGGGCCGGCTCCGCAGACACCCAGCCCGCCCGCCTCCCCGTGAAACGGAAAGGACGGCTTCCCACCAGATTTCCAGGGGGAGAAACGGGCTGGGAAGCAAACATGAAACGCAACCCAGACCTAAAAAAAAAAGAAAAAAAAAAAAAAAGACCTCAGAAGTTGGGTTCTCCCTCCAGAAAGAGGGAAGGCACAAAGGGGATGTGGGGGTGGAGAGTCACCGTTTCCCCTTCCTCCCGGGGCTCCGGGAGGGGGACGGAGGGTCGGCGCGCGCGGGATGGGGAGAACCGAGGGGAAGGCCGCCTCCTCCGTGGAGCTGGCTGCTGGGTCCGGGTCTCTGATTGTTGCTTCGACCCATCCCTCTTTCTTTAGAAAACACTGATTTTTTTTTTTTTTCATTCTTCTTCTTATGGATGAAAGAAAGCAGCTCCGGTGCCACGTTAGCGGGCAGGGGCAGGTGTAGGGAGGGGTGTCCGGCCTCCGGGGGGACAAGCTGGGAGGGAGGGGGCGGCAGCCTGGAGAATGGGGGACCCGTGCGCCCTCCCCCCAAAGGCTGAGGCGCCGGTCGGAGGGGGCCCCTCCGTGAGGGGTGTCCGGAGGGGAGCCTCTCCTGCGGGGCCGGGGCTGGCGGGGACAAGGACTGGCGGCGAGGACCCCGGAGGATGCGGAGCCGCCTCCTCGGGGAATACCGGGAGGTGGAGGGACGGCCCCGCCCCCTCGGGGATGGGCGCCAGTGGCAGTTGGGGCGCTGGCGGGAGGATCGCGGAGGTCCTACCTTTACCTTTCTCGGGGGAACACGGCCCCCCAAACCTCCGCCGAGCCCCCAGCCCCAGCGGCTCCTACCTTTCCTTCCCCGGCGCCTCGGTCCACTCCCAGCCGCCGCCGCCGCCGCCGCCGCCTCTGCCGCCCGCTCGCATCCACAGCCCGCGGAGGCCCCGCCCCTCGGCCGCCAGGCGGGCGCTGGGCGTTCGCCAGGGCCAATCAGCGCCGCGCCGCTCCGGCCCCGGCGCCAATCCGCGCCCGCCGGAGGCGGGGCTTCTCCAATGTCACTGAGGCTCCTCCTGGGGCCCCAGGATCCCTTTTGTTTGGGAAGAGACGGCCTGGGATCGAGGGCGCGTCACTTCCGGCTGGAAGCGCTTCCCGGCTCCGGCCCGAGCCCGGGGCCGGGGGCTCCCCTCCCGCCCGGCGCCCGCAACTTCCCACCTTCGAGGCGGTGTCCCGGGCAGCCCCCGGGCAGCCCCCGGGCGAGGGCTTCGTGCTTTCCCCTCCTGGTCCCGGCAGCACAGGAGGGGCGGGTGCCCTGATGGGCCACATGAGCGCTGGAAGTGTGCTTTGGTGTGTGCTTCAGGATTAGTTGTTGAAAATCTGGTAACGTGTCTTTCATGCTCTGTTTTTTGTTTGTTTTTTCCTTTTCCTTGGACGAGCTTGTGGGCGTGGTGCTAGAAGCAAGGGCGCCAAGATAAGAAACCCCGACACCTCTCCCCTCTATCTTTTCACGTTACATTTGGGAGAGAATGCTGGCCCTGGAGCCGCTGGCGTGGGGACGCTGGTGGTACCCAGGAGAGCATAAACCCAGCCCAACTTGTCTTCCAGGTAGAAGTCGGATGGAAATTACCTATTTGTGTGTCAAGGTTTTTCACGCGATGGTTGCCAAACGTGGGGACTTTTTGTGTGTATCCTGGCTCCCTTAGATGCTGGGCAATGGCGTTGAACAGTGAAGCTGGAGCAAAGGACAGTGAGGATGCAAGGAATGTCTGACCCTCCCTGTGAACACAGAAATGCAGATCTTGTAGGTGGCAGCAAGTCCTACCTGGCCCAAAAAGCTCAGAGGTGGGCAGGAAATATCCCTACCTGAGGTCAAGGTTTCTGGATTCCTTTTCCAGCTCACAGATGGATTCAGCTAGTTAAATGGTTAACAGCCACATTATTTACATTGCAACCCACTTGATACTTATAATACAATAGAATAGAATGCATAAATAATGTACTAATTTTAATACATTTTTCCTAATCCTAATTATTAAGCAGGACAGTGTTAGAGCCTTGTACTCACCTCGGCAGACAGTTCTCAAGTCTTGCCCTTATGCAGTCACAGTCTGGAGGGGTGTGGTCCGTCTCGAGTTGGAAGGATGCAAACCAGTTTTTATGTTATCACTGTGCCCGGTACTTTTATATAACGCCATCTTATTTAATCGTCGCTATTACATAACATTTCGTAACCTGTGAGATAGACATCTTTTGTCCATTTTACAGATGAGAAGATAGAGATTTAGAGAAATCAAGTAAAGTGATAGAGCTAGTAAATGGGAAAGAAAGAACTTCCAACAACTCCAGACTTGTGCCACATTCTGTTCAGCTCACGCCGGCTGTCCCAGGACAGGTCCAGAGAACGGGCCTGCGTGGCTGTAACATCATCACTGGAGCTGGGAAAAGAGATCCCTGCCTCCCCTTACTGATCGCAGGCTTGAGCGGGTCAGTTGTAGTGAGGAGCTCACCAGCAGCCCAAGTGCCCTGTAGATAACGAAGGAGGAAAAACAGAACTTCAGGAAGGCATCATTCCCTGTGGTCAGGAGGCTGACATTTGAGAAGCAAGATGAAGGGTCGGCACATAGTAGGCACTCCATACATAGCGACTTGACACAAAATGTCTGACATGGTTACAGACACAGAGTTCAGGTACTGGAATAGGCCCATGAATTAGAAAATTCCCGTTTGTCCCCCAGCCTATGGGTGTGCAATGAGGAAGTGCCTCATGCCCGACAATGAGGTAGATGTGGGAGAACAGGCTATTTTTCTGCCGCCTCTGAGTCACTCTCAGAGTTGTCCCAGTGAATCAGCCCTCCTTCCCTTTGTAGCTTTTAACCCACCACCACCCATGCTGCTCCCAGGCTGCGGTGCTCTGTGGCTCACTCCCTGTAAAGCAATCAGCAGCTCCCCTGCCTCCCAGGACTCCCTCTGACCTATCCTGAGCGTGGGAGGACCCAGCAAGAATGAGGTCATTGTTGCCTTGTAGGATTCAGAATCCTGAGGGTATTCAGATTGCTCTTTTTCAACAAAAGGTCTCTGCCACCAACCCAATGCCAGCAGGAGTCCCCAGTTTGGGGTGGGGTGAGGTGGGGTGGCGTCTTTATTCAGGTACTTTGCAAACTGCAAAGGGAGCAGGAATGCAGCCTCTAAGGGAGAAGCAAACTGGGGAAGGGGGAGGGGCATAAAATGCAAAGCAGAGGAAGCCCTGTCCTCATGTAATTTACAGGCTAAGACAAAGGCGAGGCTGCCTTTTTAAAAGTGCCTGCCTGCACGAGTCACCATAGCTAAGATTTGGAAACAGCCTAAGTGCCCATCAGCAGATGCGTGGATTAAAACACTGTGGCACATCTACACAATGGAATACTATGCTGCGGTAAAAAAGAAGGAGTTCTTACCATCTGCAACAGCATGGATGGAACTGGAGAGCATTATGCTAAGTGAAATAAGCCAGTCAGAGAAAGATAAATATCACATGATCTCATTCATTTGTGGAATATAATGAACAACATAGACTGATGAACAAAAACAGATCCAGAGTCAGAGACACATGGATCAGACCATCAAACCTCAGAGGAAAGGTAGGGGAGGGTGGAGGTAATAGGGAGAGATCAACAAAGGGACTTATATGCATGCATATAAGCCTCCCAGTGGTCGGCAAACTCACTAGTCAACAGAGCCAAATACAGCAATACGATTGAAATTTCTTTTGAGAGCTGAAAACCGACTTCTGCGCCGAAGTTTCGATTGCACTGTACATGCATGCCCGCACAAGGTATTTTGTGGAAGAGCCACACTCAAGGGGCCGAAGAGCCACATGCGGCCCAGAACTGCAGTTTGCCGAGTGGACACAGACAACAGGGGGGTGAGGGCATGAGTGGGGTGGGGTGGGGCGGGGGAGCAATAGGGAAATCAGGACACATAGATAACACCTTAATCAATAAAGAAATTTTTTTTAAAAGTTCCTGCCTGATTCTGATTGGTCCGTTTTTATGCAAATAAGGACTAAGAAGTTTCACCTGACAACGAGATGGCACGCTTTGGTTGGTTGTTATGGAGCCTCTCTGATTGGCAGGTAAAAGTACCAATAGGACATAGAGGCACAGCCTGACTGGGCGGAGACGTCGCAGCCCATTGGTTGAAATGCCATTTCCGGCCCGCCTTCGTGACATGTGTACCCCGGGAATGCCGTGCGGGGGGCGTGGCTGCTGTGCGGGCTTCGCCGAAGCGCCTCTGCGAACCACAGCTGGGCGCTCAGGTATGAATCTGGACCCCGTTAACCACGGGGAGGCCTTTTTGGCAGGTACAGTCCTCCTTGGTGCCGGCGCCTTCCTTTCCATTCAGAACCCTCAGGAGGCCGGGCCGGAGCCCTGAGAGGTGCGAGTTTTGGGATTCTCCCGTGTATAAAATTATAAATACACTTTGTAAAACGTACAAATACACTTAGGGCCCGCAGGCACACAGCAGTCAAAAGCGCGTCCACAGGACCTTGAATTTGTTTTTATCTCTGTGACGTGGCCCACCCGCCGGTAAGATTGATTGAACGCCGCCTGTGTGAGGCGGTCCCTGAGGAGGAAATGCTCAGGATTGTATAGGCTGAACCCGTTTTCCTCCAGACAGCCAGCTTCCTGGGGTTCCACAAACGTTTACTGCTGGCTGGGGAGCAAGGCTGGCGGGACGGGAAAAGCATTAAAAACACCCGGGGTTCTGTTCGTTTCCTAGGGCGGCCCTCACAGATTACCTCAAACCGGCGGCTTAGAACCGCGGTCAGCAAACTCATTAGCCCACAGAGCCAGATATTAACAGTACCACGATTGGAATTTCTTTAAAAAATATATATTTTATTGATTTTATACAGAGAGGACGGGAGAAAGTTAGAAACATCGATGAGAGAGAAACATCAACCAGCTGCCTCCTGCACCCCCCCCACTGGGGATGTGCCCTCAACCAAGGCACATGCCCTTGACGGGAATCGAACCCGGGACCTTTCAGTCCGCAGGCTGATGCTTTATCCACTGAGCCACACCGGTTTTGGCTGAAATTTCTTTTGAGAGCTGAATTTTTTAAACTTAAACTATATAGGTAGGCTCATTGTTATTAACGTAATTAGGGTCCTTCTAAGCTGGCCTTTGCTAAAAGCTCCAGGAGCCAAAGAGTGGCTCATAAGCTGCAGTTTGCCGACCACTGGCTTAGGACAACAGAAACGTTATTTTCTCTCCGACTGGAGATTAGAAGTCTGAAATCAAGGTGTCGACAAGGTTGGTTCCTTCCGGGGCTCTGAGGGAAGACCCACTCCCCATCTCTCTCCCAGCTTCTGGTTCCAGGCAGTCCTTGGTGTTCCCTGGCTTCTAGCTGTATCCTCCCAATCTCTGCTTCCGTCCTCACACGCCTTCTTCCTCTGGGTCTGATGTCTCCTTCTCTTCTTACTTGTATCCGGGCAGCAGTGGATTTAGAGCTCACACTGATTTAGTGTGGCCTCCCCTAACCCCCGCAGCTCATCGCTATTTCCAAACGAGTTCGCATTCTGAGATACCAGGTGGACCTGCGATTTGGGAGGAGAAACATTCAAATCCATACGCAGACCTCAAAGTAGTATCCACACCGCATTCCATTGGAGTTTACTGGTAAATAGCGTAAATAACGAACCAATCCCAGAAGCAGTTCTATGAATGCATGATCATTACATATGCTAGAAGCCATTTAGCAAGATTTTATTATATTGTCACTATAAAATTGCTTCACGGTACATCTCGTTTAAGTCTTGAAAGAATCCCAGGAGATAGGTGTGAATATTCTCATCATACCGATAAGGAAATTGAGGCACGAAGAGGCCCATTGTCCTCTAAAGTCAGTGTTTCCCAGAGTGTGGTACGCGTACCCCCAGGGGTACGGGAAGAGTTTGGTGGGGGTACGCGTTGCACCGGAGTTTGGTGGGGATAT